ATATATATATATATATATATATATATATATATATATATATATATATATATATATATATATATATATATATAAAAATGCAAGGTAAAATTTGAACAGAAGCCAGAGAACATCTATGACAGAGCCTGACAAGGGACATGGGGAGGGGAGGGATGGCTAAAAATGTGCATCTCTTACTGGTGGCCTCAATGTTCTTTACTGAGCTATGCAAAAAGTACAAATGTTTTATGAAAATATTATAAGCCCTTTTCAGCATATTGTGTCAAGCAGCGGTTTAGAGGAGCTGGTGGAGATAATTTCAGCCGTTTAGACCATAAATCTGCTGTAAATCTGACAGTGTTTTATTATATTTTATCTTTATATAAACTTTATTTTCATAATTTTATCGTATAACTTTACCAATCAATGCAAAGTGTCCATGCTACGTTTGATAAGTAAATCATTTAAAACATATGTATCTATTAATATATTAGAACTGCAACACTGTCTGAAACAGCTGTAGTTATCATTTTAAACAATGTCGTCACTTTTACTAAGTGTGGTATTTTCTTGTTACCTCAGGTATGTTTCTGGCTGACCTGATCGAGAAGTACTTTGTGTCGCCAACACTCTTCAGGGTGATCCGTCTGGCTCGTATTGGCAGAATTCTGCGTCTCATCAAGGGTGCCAAGGGAATAAGAACTCTGCTGTTTGCCCTCATGATGTCACTTCCTGCCTTGTTCAACATTGGCCTCTTACTCTTCCTGGTCATGTTCATCTTCTCCATCTTTGGCATGTCCAACTTTGGCTACGTGAAACACGGGGCTGGAATCGATGACATGTACAACTTTGAGACATTTGGAAATAGCATGATCATCTTGTTTATGATCACCACGTCGGCAGGCTGGGACGGCCTTCTGCTGCCCATCCTCAACTACCCACCGGACTGCGACCCGCTTCTGGAGAACCCTGGCACACCTGCCACTGGAGACTGTGGCAACCCGTCTGTTGGCATCTTCTTCTTTGTCATGTATATCATCATTTCTTTCCTTATTGTGGTTAACATGTACATTGCCATCATCCTTGAGAACTTCAGTGTGGCCACAGAGGAGAGCGCAGACCCACTCAGTGAGGATGACTTTGAGACCTTTTATGAAATTTGGGAGAAGTTTGACCCCGATGCCTCCCAGTTTATTACCTATGCCAAGCTATCTGACTTTGCAGATGCACTTGAACACCCACTGCGTGTCCCCAAGCCAAACACCATTGAGCTCATTGCAATGGACATGCCTATGGTGAGTGGAGACCGTATTCACTGCCTGGACATCCTGTTTGCCTTTACCAAGCGGGTGCTTGGCGACAGCGGGGAACTGGACATGCTTAGGCAACAAATGGAAGAGCGCTTTGTGGCTGCCAATCCCTCTAAAGTATCCTACGAGCCAATTACAACCACTCTGAGGCGAAAGCAGGAGGACGTGTCAGCGAGGATCATCCAACGGGCCTACCGCTCCCACCTGTCCCGGCGTGGATTTGTCTGCAAACGCAAACCGGCAAACAACAAAGCCGAGAATCAGGATCAAGAAAAGAAGGAGGGCACTCCATCCACTGCCTCCCTGCCTTCTTATGACAGTGTTACCAAACCTGAAAAGGAGAAACAGGATGACAACAATGAGGGCAGGGGAGAAAGAAAAGAGAAAGGCAGAAACCAAAAAGACATCAGGGAGTCTCAGTGTTAAGCGGGGGGAGGGGGATAAATAACCACACTAATAACAGTACCGATTAAACTAATGTAACTTCAAGCCGAGTGAGAGAGTTCTCACCCACACTGATGTACAGATTATTTCATTTGCAAGTCAGAAAAATAGTACTCAATAATTTTGTTTACAGACTTCATTCCTATACTGATGCAGGGGAAAGCGGGGAATGACTGAACTTTAGTCAAACCAAACATAATCAGCATTCTGTGTGGCACTGTTATATCAACACAACCAATCCTAACAAAACGGAGAAGGAAGATGATAGAAGAAGAAATCGGCCACATTTCTGCCATGTAATTATACTGTACACCAGGAGGAGGAAGGCAAAAACAGGATTCCAGCGCCGTGTAGCTGCAGTGGATGGATAACAAGGAGGCTGCTCAATCGTTCAGCAGCCAAAGTTGATCTGTGTCAGTGTGTATAGACACAAATGAAAGACTCACTCTATGAGCGAACAGTGGATAATGTGGTGAGTGAGAGAAAGACACAAACTGAGAGAGCCTAAAGTGTTTTCTCCTGTTTAATCAAAAGTAGATTTTTTATTTTATTTTTTTCCTCTTTTTTTTTTTAGCAGCAAAAATGCAAACCGAGGAACAAACCGACAAAAAAAAAAAAAAAGAACAATATTCATTTATCCTATTTCGATCAACAACTCGCATTATTTTTGTTACACCCACATACAAAATGCTTTATTTTACATTGGCTTTTTGCACCGAATTGGTAAAAGGGTCTGTTTATTGACAGGGGTTCAACTTGGGGCCAAGGGCTTCCATATACGCAGAAAGATTTTCAGACAAATACATAATTATTGTGCTTGTTCAATGCATAGAAATGACTTGCATGATGGCATGTTTTGATCAGAAATTTTGCATGAATTATCATAGTCCACAAGACACTAATATTCAGACCTCACTGGTTGCTTGCAGATCTGTACCATTAAGGCATTTCTTTTTTGATCAAAGTTCCAGAGTTGGAAAATAATTTCCTCAGTGAAACAAGCAGTGTGTGGGTTGATCAGCTGACGCTGATCAGATTTCAGCATTCGACACATTATAGAATTTCAGTCTATAACCAGAATGAAACATCACCTTAGTGGGTGAAATGCAAGCACTTTCTTTGCTGCTCAGAAGATTGTAGAAGTGTAACGTGAAAGAAAAAAATGTTTAAGTAGATTGATGGACTGGAATGTTTGTTTGGACCGGAGTTTTTTTAAGGAAGCCTGAAAAGCTTATGTTTGTACTTTGTATGTTCCTGTAATGTTTTGCATCATTGTCCTTTTATTTTTACATAAGCGGGAGTCCGCGGTTTGGGTTTTGGCCAACCCCTTTCTCATACTTACTTTGTCTCTTACTTTTAAAAAAGGGCTCAGCAGAGTTTGGATTTTTTTTTCTTTTAGAGTGTTTTATTTGCTAATTTAAACGCTTGCTTTCTTCCCTTGTGTCATTTTTAATGTTTCAGAGTCTGATGAGGCTTATATGGCAGTTTTATAAACTGAATCAAGCCAAAAGGGAAGCAGTTTTGTGCTTAAAAGGTATGTTTGGAATGGTCAAAGTGAGAGAGGTAAACTTCTAAATGGGTGATGAGAACATTGTGTGTGGAGAAGCCAAAGAGATCTGCCTTGTAATTCCTTGTTGTCCTTTACTAAAGGAGTGGGACTGCCCATTCTTTTCTTTCTTTTTTTTTTTTTTTTGCTGTCGTTATCAGACAGAGAGACCCTAGAAATGTATGCAATGCTTGAAAAATTCTTCCCTTTTTCTCAGGAGATATTATAGATGTATTATTAAGAGCTCTGCAACAAAATGCAATTGAATGTGGTGGGAGTATCATTATATATGAAATCATGTTTGATCATTTTTGTTTTGTGTCGGTCATGCCGGTCAGAGTTAGTTTATTACTTCCTGCTTCTAAAGCATTGGAAATATAAGGCTAGAGGTCCTGTGTGAGGAGGCGACATAACTTGCTTGTAACTAGTGCAGTATTTATATTTGTAGCCATTTTAGTGTATATTGAAAGTTAAAAACAAGAAGTTCAAACTTACTGCAAACACAGGCCATGAGAGACGGAGATGTCACAAGGGTGAAATGGGATTAGTTGATTTTTTAGTAGCACAAAGACAGTAATCAAAAAGTCCCAAATTTTAGCAAGTTTTGAGCTTCTTATTTTCCTTCATGTTCGGTAACTGTATAAAAAAACAACAACATACCAAATAACCGACAGAGAACCGGATGCATCTCTTCTTATGGTACTGTGAACCTGAGCACCACAACCTAGAGCATTTGCACCTTCTGTTGTGCAGTGATGTCACTTCCTTGTTTATGGATAATCCCCCTCATCCGTTTTATCCCACCCGCCAGCTGCATGAAGTCTCCAGAATCGGTCTAGGTATCAACTTGAACCAAATAAAAATCTGGATGACACACATAAAAGCTATCACCATGCATTTTCTCCAACATCTCCAAGATTTCTCTCTTGAGGGAAAAAAAAAAAGAATAAATTGTCATGAATATATACATTCAGGCTATGCTCTATAGGGCACAAACTGCAAAAGCTATCTTTTTTTAATGACCTATAAATAATGTAATATATTATTTTAAGAGCATGTGTAGTTTTTTTGTAAATAAAAGATTACCATAAAGAAAAAAACTACAGCTATTTCTTTAACACTAAATAATAATAACCATAAATAGAATGGCTTCCAGCTGATGCCTCTTTGTCACTGTTGTTAGGCTGAAATGCTTTGTTAGGAGGTGTAGATTTTTTGTGTCTTTTTTCATAATAAAGAGGGAAATAAGAAATAAGTGAAAAGATTCTATAATAAAAGCAGAAAATTGTGTAAAGCTGTATAAATCAATACACACATATTCAGAGCTGCGTTACATATATATTATATATTCTTTTATACCTATATATATATATATATATATATATATATATATATATATATATATATATATATATATATAATGAGGTTAGAACCATGTCCGTAACTCAACTCTCCTGTCCACTGGCATTGAGGTGACACCAAATCCACTGAGCTTTCTTTGTGTGGTACACTCAGAGAATAATCTAAAGTCTGGCCTGCCCGGGACTTTCCCCAGTATCGAGTATTGGCCTACAATGCATGATGTTGTACTGGCTGCTTGCTGAGAATTTTGGAGCCTGCCTTGGTGAGAAGATTGCACAACCAGCATACCAACCCCCATTAACCCCTCCTTCCCCCTTCTCTCTTTTTTGTAGATATGTGAAGATGTCTTGCCCCTATTGTTTTCCATGCTTTGTATACACCGATGCAAAGTGGCATACACATAAACATGCACCTTCATTTCTGCCTTTTTTCAGGCAATTGCTGTTAACCAGAACACTTCAATTGCTTGCTGCAGCCCCTTAACCCTTCATGTATTCCCCCAACCTTTAATGTTAACACATTTGCTGCAGCTTAAAGTTGATCTTTTGATTTTGCCAACACTTTTAATAAGATATAACTAAAGATTTAAGGATTAGTTGTCTTAACTGTCTGTATGTTTGTTTATGGTGCAATATCTCTTAACGGCACGTGCCTTTTTAGCTTTCTATCAATAAAAACCTGCAACAAAGATCTCAAATCCCTCTGAGCGGATCAAAATCGGAGCACGTCAACATATTGAGGTTGAAGCGAACTGATAACTCACCACCTATAGGTTAGACTGTCTGGACTAACATTGTTTAGAGTCTTGTAGGAAGTGCTCTCTTTCTCTGTGTTTTGTTGTTTTGCTGGCTTGTCCGCCAGTAAGAAAACAGCTTGCCTTCTGTTTTACACTTCTGTTCTCATTTTCTTTTCAGACGTTGGTTTATCGATCATGATATGAGGCCATTGTTTTGTAGCATGACTGAGATGAATTTCTTCTCTTTGAAAATAGCTTCACTAAAAAGAAAAAAGCAAAACAGCTTTTGACTGTCATTTCTTTTCACTATTACAGTCAAGAAAGAGGGCATATGTTGCACACCACATTGGACAATTAAGTGAGAATTCAATGAAAGAATGTCTTCATTTGAGCACGAATCTATTTCCAAACAATAAAAGCAGCCTTCCAGTTATCGCTGTAGTATGTGTCGTTTTTTTTTTTCAAATGTTTTTTTAAAAGTTTTAACGTTTTTTTTTCTCTCTTTCATTTTGTTGTCTTTGTTTGGCCCAGAATTAGAAGCAAAATGTAAATTCTTTATACGCCATGAATCTAATGTTCTATATTACGACCAGAGAATCCAATGTTTTGTGTTTTCTATGGTGGATCAACCAAAAGTTGGGCAAAATTAGGCCGTTGATTGAAAAGGAAGTTCCCAGCAGGATTTGAAGCAAGTGTTTGTATTTGCCCCATTATTCTGAAGCTGCTAAACCATCTCCAGTAAAAATTATATAAATGAATCGGTATACATCCATTTGTACAGTAAATAAGTCAGATGTATATAAATGAACAAACAGCATCATGAGAAACAAAGAACACAGCAGACAGGTCAGGGGTAAAACTGTGAAGCAGCTTAAAACAGAACCGCATTATGATAAAAAAAAAATCCCTTGCTCTGAACTTTGTATTTAAAGAAGTTCTATATATACTTCTCTCATTCCTTGTTCAATATATTGGTCTGTGACATCAAACTTTTTGAAGAGATCATGAAAACTGGAAGCCTAAACTGTCAGCATGTCAAGAAGTCTAATGATTACAAAGGAAACCAAAAGACGATAAACTAAAAAGTCTAGGTCAAACCAAAAGCTCCCAATCGAGGTCGAGGGCCTAATATAAGTTGAAAACCTTTGGCAAAACTTGAAATTTGATGTTCCTAGAAATCGTGCAACTTATCTGACTGAGCTAAAGCTATGTTGGTCAGAAGCATAAGCTTACAATCCAGAAGAACAATGAGTGGCTATTTGATTTGCATCTGATTTTGGAATGTGTGGAAGAGGTGCTCTTTAAATATAGCAGAGCTCCAACTACAGTTTGCTCTGGTACAAGCCAACAAAATTGACCAAGACTCCTGGAAAAATTTCAAAACGTCTTCAAAAACTGAGCAAAAGTCTGGTTGCTCTCCAATTTAAGCCTGTTTGTGGTTATAAGCTTACAGTTCATGAAAAGGACAAGCTTAATAGAGCATTGTACATAGACTTGGGGCTGCGTTTGCAGCCAAAGATGGATCTACTGAGTTTTTAGTTTTAGAGGTCAAACACAATGGACATCCTCTTCTTCAGGTTCTTCAACAAAAAAAAGAACGTTATTCTTGTTACATTAACAGCAAGAATGTGGGTTTGAGTAGATCAATACAGAATTTTATTTTTTGTTCTACAGACATAACAAAATCTGATACTTTTGTAAGGTCCAGTTGCTTTATGTGGTTGGGTGTGTCTTAATGCTAAGATGGAAGGTTTGTGCGCATGGGTGTTTCTCCCCTCCTTGTGTTGTGTGGAGATCTGAATGAGGGAGCGGTGTAAAGGGGGTAAGCAGAGAGAGAAGGGGAGAGCACTGCAGTGCAGATAGATGAATGCAGTGGCCCAGGCTGAGTCAGCAGCATGTTCCCAACAGACTCAGACTGTACACTGTAAAGCACCTTTTTTACCCACAGCCAGCAAATCAGATGAAGAGGCAGCCTACTCAGGGGGAAGGAAAGTAAATGAGAACAATGGATGGCCACATATGGTCAAAAGCAGGTACTCTGCTTACCGTTTAACTTTCAGATACTTACTTCAGTGGTATCTGCATTATTACGAAATTTAAAACAATCAATGTCTTTTAATGATGACCATTTATCCCCATCGAGTGTTAATCGGTTAGAACTGCAGATCTATGTCGTCTTATATATCGAACTGAATGTAGGACCAAGACACTGAGGATTAATTGGGACATTGCTGAGATGTTTGAGAAAGTAGCGGTTTACAAGTACTGACATAGACTGGTAGTGTTTAAGTGAGGGGAGCACACAGACAGGAGGGTTCTTTGTGTAATCAGTGAAAACTGAATCATGATTCGGTCATATGGTCTCTTTTAATCAAGCACAAAACAGTCTTTACTTTTTGACCCAGATCTCTTCCTGCATCTGGTGGAGGAGAATGATGTTTGTGTTCAGGTGGAACATATTAATTTTACTTTTCCAAAAAATAAGACTGACAAAGAAAAACACTGCCTATGGGAAAAGAAAGATCAATTGATTATCTTCTTGACCTCTCCTCTGGGGTCAAGATCAGTCTAGATCAGTGATTCAGCTTCAGAGCCGCATAGCTTGTAGCAACAGTATTTCAATATTCACACCAGTTATGGCAAAATATTCCATTAGGTGTCATTCTTATGATTCTATGGATTTCTGAAGCTTTACTGTTAAGCCTGCAACTCAGGACAACTACTGCTTTATTATTTCTGCTGCAATTCTTTGTAAACTAAATGGTGCAAATCTTTAAATAAAATATTTCTTAAAGCACTTTAACATGTTGACACTGAATTTGAAGAAATTAACAGAGATATACCTACCTTCCTGGTCAAAAGTATTTGCTAATTTTCATATTTTCTTTTTTTCTTCTTCTTTTTTTTATGTCAGACTTAGAATAACCTTTCATCCTTTTGATATAAAAAACTGGCTCAGAGAAAATCTGCTTAACTGTTTCTTTCCTAGACAGAGCCACCTAAGGAGCTGGTTTACTTTTACCTTTTCCAACATAAAAGGTATTTCTAGATCAGTGCTTTAAAGTTCTTTCTGTATGTCTCCTTCCATCTCCTTGAACCCCAGTCAGCCTTTGCAGATGGCCACTCACACTGAGCCTGGTTCTGCTGGAGGTTTATTCCTGCTAAAAGGGAGATTTTCATCTCCACTGTGTCTGCATGCATGCTTAGTGTGAGGGATTTCTGTTGGATCAAATTTTACATTTGACAGCAATAACCTGTTTTAAGACAAATAGATTTTAGATGATAATTTAATTTATTAGGTTAAAAAGCTAAACCAATTATTGTTGAACTTTAAGCAGTGATGATGGAGGCAGGTAAGGCCTGCAGTGTCTGCTCATATCTATTATATGTTAATTAAAGAAAATGTAGTAAAAAAAAAAAAAGGAGGGTCTATTAAACTAATAGTTAAGAATATGTACTAACATACACTGTATAAATACACTCACATATAATTTCAACACGCTTTCTTAATAAAGTGGATCTAACCTTTACTCTTTTAGGCCAGGTGGTATTTCCAAATATTCTCTGTTTTCTTAATGTTGTTCACTAATTTTTCATATTTTCTTTTTCAACATTTTTTCCTCAAGCTATCTAAAAGCTAATCGTCAGTTTTACAAGAAAGAACTTTTCTATGCTTAATGGACCTAAATAAGTTATAATTTCTGACAGTACAAAAACTAAAAATCTTTTAGAAATATTCTGTTTAATATCCATATACTGTATGGTTAGACTAAGACACTTTTAGGCATCTAAAGATTTCATCCAAGGAGGAATCACATACATTTGTTCCCATATTTCCTTTAAGATAATGTTCCACATAAAAATAGAGTGGTTTGGGTTTTGCCTTATGCATCCATAGTTGTGACTTCATTGAACTCAGCTTCTGTGAATAAAGTAATTAGAAACGGTGAAATCACCACGTGGTCTGTTCCAATTACTGAAGGGCATAGTGATTAAGTAAAATGTCCAACTTTAAAAAAGAAACAAACATAACAAAATTCTCTCTCATGTCTGGAAACGAAAAAAACTTTTGGTAATTCAACTGACCTCAAAGTGAGAAGGTTAAACTTGAATCAATGTAAGAAAGAGAAAAATCTTTCAGAGAGAATAACAGATACATAAAGACCAGAAGTTGAATTGTCTTTTTGAATATTAGTGCAAAATGTTTGTCGTTTAAACCACTTTTTCCCAACCTTTTTTGACTTGTGTACCCCTTTGAGCATACCCCTGTCAGTCAAAAATTACTATTGTCCAAAAGTGGAACGTACAAAAAAATTATAAAATACAAATTATTTTACTTAATCTTTTAACATAAGCATTTAAATCTTTTTATGCTTTTCATCTCAAATAAAAAAACAACATAAATATGTTGCCTGGAAGTTAGTGAGGAATTTAAATAAATACAAAATAAAGTCATATTATAAACCTGTATTTATAAAACTGGAGCTCCTCTGAGTAACTCAATTATAATCACATTTAAACTTGATGAATTTGGAACAAAACAGAACAAAATTTATAGTAAGAATGGCTTAATTAATTTTACTTTGTTTTCATCAAGACACCCAACCTGCTTTGATGAGCTCCGATAGCTCAGTGTGACAAACAGCCAATCGCAGGCTGTTCTCTACATCCAGTCTGTTCCTCTACTTGAATTTGATGTGTGTCAAAGCTGAAGGTGACTCAAACGTATAAGAAAAACTTACCTTTTGTTTGATTGAAATCTTGTTTCATTTTTCAACTGGGTCCTCGCAAAGCAAAACAGATCCCAACCCTATTTTATTTTACTACCTAAGATATACAATATTTTCATGTACCCCTTGCGATGCACTCGCGTACCACTAAAGATACGAGTACCCCCCGGTTGGGAATCACTGGTTTAAACCATCAAATACAGTAGCTAGCTATATCCACCTAGGTAGCTAATACATGGTTCAGTTGCTGCATAGATAGATAAAAAAGAAATGGAAATGCTGTAAAACGTATTGATGATACTTCAAGCTTAGTTGTAGACCAACCCTCTTTTTGTTTTCAAAGAAAAACAGACAAATCCAAGTGTGATTTTTGTTGTTTTTTTTTGCGTATATTTTCATTTGACAAAACATGACAGAGCAGTCTTTAGTGAGGTAGACTTAAACAGGTCATCAGTTTAAAACATTGCTTTTTACGCCGGCATCTGAAAAAGACATGAAATAAATACCTCCGTGTACAATGTCTTCAGAATGAGGTAGAAACGGTAAAGGAGAATGCACAATAATGATAATTACACTGATGTCACAAATGTTCAGATTTGTTCCACATTCTTTACTGCATAAGAGAAACACATAAAAAATAAAATAGTTGCTGTTGTGCATATCTTAAAATGGAACATGTTCTTTTTGTGGCATTAGAGCGCACATTTGTTTTAGCTAAGCGCTTAAAATTGAGCTCTTTTTTTCCTCCCTAAAGATGTTAAAGCTTTTTTTGACATTAATATCTTTGCTATATTTTATTACATTATGAGAAATTTAGTTTTTTTAGATGGGTAAAATCTGCACTCACTTGTATTATTTAATTTCAATTAAACTCTTTCAATTAAAGCAACATCTTGAGGAAAAAAGATTCATTAAAAGTTGCAAATACGGTGCATGTATTCATACCTTTTATCTTTTTGACAGATTTAAGTAATAAGAAAGTCAACTGCTAATATTTAACTAAGACATCTAGCAAGCATTGAAATATAGCAGATGGCGTAGATGATATAGGAAAATATTTTTTTTTTTAATCCAGGAGTGCTTTGTTATGACAGTTTGTCTGCACAATCATCTCCCTAACACTAACTAAACTACGTAACACTTAACATGGCATTCAAATTTCCAATAAATCCTAAAAGAGAATTACATCTATACACAAAAGAAAATATGTTTTATATATCTAAAAACATCACCGATGTACATTATGGCATGTATTGTCCTTAAAAAAAAAAAATTATCTGAATTACATTCAACATTTCAGGCCTCGGTATGACAACTTCAAGTTTGCCAGAGCAATAAAACTGAGGGGGGATTGCGTTAGTGCAATTGTGCGAGGACGATAAAGTTTCATATTACTGAGGGCATTGTATGTTTGTGGTTTCCCTGAAGTCTTTAACCATGGCTCTGTATTCTTTCTCCGTCTTGCTCCGTAAAGCTCGCTACCAACACCCTTAGGTCATAACATACATTCTTACTTTTATCATTCTGAGGTAACAATATTCTTCCTGAGTTTCAATAACATGAATATAAATCATCCTTCTAAGAGGGTTAAGTAAAGAGATTGCATATAAAAAAAAAGTAAATAAAAGCAAATAAGGAGGTAACTCTTCATAAAGACTATAATGTTGAGCAAAATGTGTATGAGGCACTGGGACCTGCATGCTGTTCATCCAAACAATAAACAGCCTTTTTGCATTTTAACTGGATGTTATTTTTTGATTATTGGTTTGGGCACAAATGTGCTGTGGTAACTACACTCATAGAAGCTAACCTGTAGATTTTTTAATCTTACGATTTATTGAATGCCAGATACAGTCAAATAAAAATGAAATCTTAGATCCAACATTATGGATTATAATTTTAAAGAGTGACTTAGTTGATGAAGGATTTCATACAGTGCTGTGAAAAAGTAAATTCCCCCTAACATACATGTTTTCTTTTTGTTCTTACAAACATTTTTCAATTAGAAAAAATATAGCCGGAATTTATACTACATGCATTTTCCAAATGATGATATCATTATTAAGGGGAAAAAGCTATCTAAATCAAACTGGCCCAATATAAAACTTACTTTTTCCACATTGGTGAAGTCTGATGAACTAATTCTCCTCTTTTTTTGGTTTAATGTCACAAGCTACACTAAGTCAGATTACTACCAGACCAGCAAGATCAGAAAATCGATGAAAAAAAAACGTTGCTGAGATCATGAATAGGCTTGAGGACCTCAAAAAACACACATTATGACTAGATCTGTATGAATTTAGGAACAGATGGATGACAAACACATGGATATCTATCAGTATGAAAACATTTCATTGTCTTGGGAATATAGAAGTAGCCATAATCAGCAAAATATAGAAAACATTGAAAAGTTAGACGCCCTCCAATAAGTAGCTGACCTAACTTAAGCACTTAGATGGAGGTAGGAACGAACCCAAAACAATATCTAGAGGACTGCAGGGCTCACTTGGGGAAGTTAAGCAAAGATTTAAGAGATATAAGAAAAATACTGGAAAAAACAGCCCCTCTAGACTTAGAGATTGAGTTCAAAAGCCCAAACCATAACTGACCCAAGACAACATACTGATGATCTCCAAGAATTTGCAATGCATTTTCTGTTCATTGAGGAGACAGAAGTGGAACTTTATATGGGATATTTTCCTGTTACATCTGACCAAACAATAGAACATTGTACTAGCAGTAAAGCATGGTGATGGTAATGTGATGGTCTGAGTTGCTTTTCTTCTTTAGGACTTAAGTAAATGTTGTTATTGATGTGACTTTGAATTCTGCTCAATAGCGGTTAATCCTTAAAGACAATGTCCAGCTATCAGGTTAAAAATATTAAACTTGGTAAGGCTCTGCAGCTGGACACAGATAAACAGCCCACAAAGAATTACATTTCAAAACGGGTTGAAAGAAAAAAGCGCTAACTTTGAATTTCTTTGGTTTGTAAAACACTGAAGTGGGAAAAAAGGTAAAATCAAAAGAAATATATTTTCTCAGAGCACTGTGTATATATGTATATATATATATATACCGTAAATTCTCTAATATTGGCCTGTATTCCATTAGCGGCCGGGACTCTAACATTGGCCGGTCTCGCTGTCAGAGGAGGTAAATAATGGCCGGTCTCTAATACAGGCCGGGGCTATAAACGTTTTTTCTGGGCATACCTCAACATTATACTTGTGGTAGTAACATACAAGTACCACAGCCCTGCGCAGCTGGACGACAGGCCCTGACTGCTGCCCGTCTGCGCGAGGAAGAGAACAGACATGCAGCAGAACATGAGGAGGAGCGCGAGTGATGAGGAGATTAAAGGGAGAGATGAAGAGGAGGAGGAAACTGAGGAGGAGGATTAAACAGAATTGGGGGATTTTTTTTTTCTTTTTTACTTCAAACCAAGCGAGACATGGTAACTGTACTTTTTCAATAAATGAACCTAGTGTTTTATAGGTTCAAATAGACACAAAATCTCATTTTTATTCATTCCACTGGTAGTCTGTTTTGTTCAAATAGCAATAGAGGCCTGTCTCTAATTCTGGCCTCTTTCCAATAAAGGCCTGGACCGCGATGCACTTGAGTGAAATAAAGGCCCGGGCCTATATTAGAGGATTTACGGTATGATTTAAGCAGTTCTGCACAGACATTGTTGAGCAGAAAAGGATGGAATCCATGGCAGAGAATAAATGCAAAAGATGGAAGGTAAGATAGAAAATAAGGCCCAATGACACATCAAGCCTTGCAGTTAGTGGTGTAGCAGTGATTATGCTAAAGTAGCATGGCAATCTCAACATTTTAGTTATTGCTTGCTTTTTTTTGGTCATTTTTGTTGGGTATTTTTGCAGTCAAAGGCATTTTTGTTTACGCAAATAAGATGGAGTATATCATCTTCCTTAAAAAAAAAAAAAAAAGTAGCCAGCAAGTAGTACATAAGATCCTGAGAGAAACAGACACTCGTATATTTAGACTGTCTATGCAGAGAGTAGCTTAACCTAGGGGGCCAAAATACCTCTGTGAATCTTTGGAAATATATGAGTAATGATAAACATCCACAAGAAATAGAAGTCTTGTGCCCTCTTGTGTTTGCCAGAGCGATTACACTTTTTGAAGAACAATTCAGTGTTGCGCCAGAACCCTTCAGTCTTTGGATACATCTCTTTTGTTTTGACTGCGATAATCAGCGGCCACAAGTAGGGTCCTCTGCTCGTGTGTGAGATGCTGGTATCTTGACAGACATTCTTTGCTGCTGAGTAAAGCTGTGCTCTCCTGCCACGCTCTCCCCTGCGAGGCCTGGTGGTGGGCTATAGTCTGCTGCTCCATTGTAAGGAGGTGATATGAGGGGCTTTCCAGCCTTGTAGCCCTGCTGATCTGAGGAAGGGCCACTAACATCGTAGCCGTTAGCTTGCCCATTACCATTACCTTTGCTATGACTGCTTCCTGAACTGTTGCCATACTTTTTGTAACGCGATCCATCCACTTCTACATCCTCCTGTCCTTCCTCTGTCATCTCGAAGGCCTTGCGTTTAAGTGGCACACCTGCATCAGAGCTCCCACCAATGCTGTGACAAGAATAACTATAACTACCCCCAACTACAGTAGGTCTAGGGGCCAAAGGTGTAGGAGCACTAATACCTGAAGGCAGGTAAGAGGCACTAGGGTGGTTGTATCCAGAGGAAAGGCTGGCTTGGGGGTAGCAACCTGGTGTGTAGTTGTAGACAGGGGTGCTGGTGCTGTAGCTGGGCACTAGAGAAGGGGTTGGCTGCAAGGTGTGCAGAGGGGCAGGTGGAAGTGCTGCACTTGGTTGAGGACAGTATCCTGGGGACAGATAGGTACTGTTGTAGGCAGGAGGGTATTCCTGAGACGATGGGGTATTGCAGGATGGAGCGCCGCTATAGCCTGGTTCTGAGACCAAGTTACTACTCACTAATGTTACACTTCCTGTAGCTGGGATTCCTACTGAGCCAGGCCCCACTTTGGTACCAGTTAGTGCCTCAAGTCCGGGGTAGCAATCAACACCTTGACTCAAAGCCCAAGATTCGGATTCAGTTTTAAGGAAACTTCCAGACTCAGAGTAGACACCTGTAGCAGGGCGTTCATAAGACAATTCCAGGCCTGAGTACTTCTCAGCGTAACGTTTCAGGAGCGAAGAAGCCGTAAGAGCAGATATGTCATCGCTGGCCCAAGGATACCCAGCAGGAGCATAGGTGCGTCGGGCAGCAGAACTGTAGGGGTCTTGTTTGTGGGCAGACTGGGGGGAGGTGGTGGATGTCACATCTAGGTGCTGTTCAGGCCACTGAGATAAAGGGGCGACGTGCTCCGGAGACCAGTGCATCTTCAACAGACCTAAAAGGAAAAAAGGAAAACATAAGTTAACTCAGCTTGACCTATGCATTGCTTGTTGAAAAATTAACTGCATTCTTTTCCTGATCCAGGAGTACAGTTTAATTAAAGAACAAAAACTAAGTTTGAGGTAGCAAATATACTTTATAGCATGGAAGTTGTAAACTACTGTCATTACCAGCAAGGTGTTCAAAGTTAAATCAGAGGAAGCAGAGTCATAATACATAGTTTAAAAGGGATCTGTATCTTATGTCTGTTGGATATTTATGGTGATGTCTGCATAAATATCTTCTGGTAGGGGATAATGGCAAAATCTTCAGACTTATTATATAAATTTAAAATTGAGAATTTTAAAAAGTTTTAGTAGGATTTTTGAAATGTTAAGTTGGAGCAAGGATCTACATTTTCTGGAGATTACACACAGAAACCACTTTTTGCAGTTTCTGACACTAAGAGAGCTAATATATTAAAAAGAATGTCAGATATAATTTCAAATATCAATTCTGTAATCATTTGGTTTTAAATAAAAGTTAATCTCTGTGACTCTCAGTGACTCTTCTGGGATATACAGATAAACACTGTCGTTTGAAGGGCACAGTACAAATGTAATTACCCATTTAAACCCTGAAACCATGAAATCAAACTAGAATTGTCTGACTATCTGCAAATGACAAGAAAACATACAGTTAAACTAGATAATTTATTCGCATTATTTGTGATAAAGGATTTCTGTATAATCTTTTATATATTTTGTGTTCACTACAAGTGTCTGATCTGTAAGTCAGGGTTTTCAAGACTAACAATATTACACTGGTAATGCAACTCATGAATCTCATATAATGCACTGGTTTTAAAGGGTTAAAATTGTTTTGGATTTGTTAAAAACTTTTAAAACAAAAACGTGAGTGCAGAAAAGAAGGGAATCCTCACAAGATGGCAGTACTACCCAACCCATCTGTTTTCCAAAATGCCCTCAAAAGGTAGCTCCGGCCATCTGTTTTCATAATCTCTCTAAAAAAAACAAAAAAAAAAGAAGCATTTTACAGAGTCCTTCCAGTGGATAGTCTACGCTCTTATGCATTGATCTACCCAAAAAGTGGGCTTATGTCTCTAACCTTTATGAAACAAACCCACCAATATAGCCTCCAGCCTGGTCTCCACAGCGATAAGCCTCAATCATTCTGCATGCTACCCTCTGAATCTGTTTCACACACATTGGAGCCATTGTTGTCTCTCAGTGAGTCTCTTAGTCCTCAAAGCCTCCCCCACCAAGCGTGTGATCTAATTCGGCCAAAACCTCAGAGGTCTGCTGGACAGAGGGAAAGTGGGTGGGGTCCCTAAGGAGGGAAATCAAGTATTTTGTTCCTTCATGTTAAACTGGGGCTAAACTAGACTTCACAGAAATGATCACTATAGGTATGCATAATTGGGTGGGATTCTTAATTTCATGTGACATGAGCAGTTATACATGCAGTCTTAGACAGAGTAATCCACTGGTTTAGTGGCTGAGGGATGGTCTTTTTGAACTGGCGTTAGGCTGACATTCCAAGCATTGCAGAGCATTATTGAACTATCCCAATACCATGCCTAGGCCAGAGGGGTTTTCCTACAAAAGTAACGGACAAAATTAGACAAAAAAGAGAAGTTACTAGAAGATATCAGTCGTGTTGGGAGAAAATACTTTTTCAGCAATAGTTTTTTACACCAAAAGTTACTTTTGAGATGTTTTTAACTATGAGCCTTCTATTCCTTTATAGATAAAACTGTTCATGGCAATTAGTTAAATAAGTCTACATATTTGTAGAACAGCCCACAGGAGTAGGATGCAACATTTTTCCATTGTGCTTTTTTTCCTGTTTGTTTCTCAAACATTAGAACTATTATTTTTAAACAATGTGAATGTGAAATTTCTACAAAACTACTCAGTCACATATTTTTAGTCAGATAAAGCAGAGTATCCACCCTCTCAACATCCTGAGTCTGAATGAAGGTTATGATCTTAACTGACGAAGAAATTCCTAGCCCTGGATGACAGCAGAAAATACAGCCCTGATCACAGTAAAAGAGGCACTTCATTCCATTTATTTATTTATTTTTAATTTTTATACCAGAATATTTCATTACTCACTATGTCTGTTTTGCAGCCAAATATATTTTGATTGATGTCAGGTTGAGGTACGTGTAAACCATAACCACCAGATGGGTTTTGTTGATCCCTAAATCAAATGATCCTTTCGCCCAATAATCCCTCTCATCCAGTCCGGGCATCTCAGCACACTCCAACAGCTTTTGGATACACATTCATATCAGTCATTTATATCTACAAAACAGACATTCTCACAGACATATACACATCAACATGTTTTAGCAATGCTAATGGGACTAACCACTTTTACCACTTGTAAAAATATACCACAGATGTTTTAAAATGCAACACCTGCAATCATTTTGACTCATTTTAAAATATAAATCTGATACTCAGCATCTGCTCTTTACACACAAAGCAAGATGCTGCATTTACATTTATATTCTAGAAAATATATACAATTCTATATTGCTAGAGTTAGTGAGATTAACTCCACTGGTCAATGCTGGTTTAGCGATACTCTTGTGGTTTGAATTCAGCTAATGTTAGTTGAAGCCTTTGGGTTTGAATTGGATCTTAAATGCTACAGAAACTCCATCATGTTGACAAGTGCAGCGCATCAAACATCAAGCAATCTACCTACAAACCAGTAAGTGATGCTGGCACCTGGTGGTGATCTGCACAAACACTTAATAGTTATGTATTATAGTTAAGTTTTATCAGCACATGAAATGAAATTTAATCTGGCATCAATGGGCTCTATGCACAGCTCCACTACTTCCTGAATTTAATACAGCTCCTTTGTTTCCTGTCTTTCATGATTGGATGCACTGATTAATCCAGGTGTGTATGACCTAAGTAACTGGCCAGACACACCTGGATTAATCAGTTCGTCCAGTAATGAAAGACAGGAAACAAAGGAGCTGCCTTAAATTCAGGAAGTAGTGGAGCTGTGCATAGAGCCCATTGAAGTTATCAGAGCTTAAGAGGTCAGTTCTCAGACTAAAACATTTAATTTGATGGAGTAGATTGAGCTTTTGGTTGACTCTACTCATACAACATGCAAACATCTAAGCATGCAAAAGGCTGATTAAAAGTAATGAAAAATGCATCCTAATCTGGCCGTTTTATTTAAATGTCGGTCATAAAACTTGCACATCCTAGTAATTCTACTTTGTTGGTTAGAATTAACCTCAAAGTGAGCCATTATTTTCCTCCTCATTATATAATCAAATGTGCAGATAGTAGGAATATTGCAAAAACAAGTTGGATTCGAACAACGTAGTGGATTTTTGGGAGTTCCGAATGTGAATAATAAAAAAAGGAAGATCTAACTTAGACAAAAACAACACCAGATAGGAATCCCTAATAATGGAGATAAGATCCAAAGATTTGAAATAAATAAATAGAAAAATAGAGTTTATCATACAATCAACAAACATCAAATTTTAATTACTAGTTACCATAGTCACATTTTTAATTGGCTGCCACCTCTTATAAAATAAATGAGTCAATATACTTTATACTTATATTTCTAAGTAAAATGTCTCTAGTTCTAGGTTCTTAGAATAGATAAGTCTAAAGACCACTTCTATAACCAGAAAAGCCCCCAGGGAGAGCAAAATTCTGCCAAGTATCTCATTTCCCTAGCATATTGTGACTTCCCCTTTAAGTTGATATCTGTATTCAAAGAATACAGTCACCCACTTTTTAAATTTCTGCGAAATCCACTCATTACTCTTTTTGTTTTGAAAATAAAAAAGACAGACAAACAAAAAAACCTCCTTAATTATTACCTTGACCTCCTTGGCCAAGGTAATAATTAATTTTTTTCTCGGGACTTGCACGCTCTTCTATATCACTGGCCATAATATTTGCTAAAACTACATCACATTACTAAAGAGATATGTAGAATAGCAAACTAAATGGGTACAGGTATTTTAACTCTAAAGAAAGGGGTCCATATGGCAATGACTCAAAAATAAATAAAAATGCAATATGCCACACACAATAATGTGTTGTGATTCCACTTTGACTTGAATTTCATATTTGAGAGAGACTTTAAATTAGCCATAAAACATTAAATAATGCAAATTAGAACCTTAACATTTGTCACGGCTATAGCTTCAGTAAAGCAGGGGATACTTTTGTTTAGATTAACCATTGAAGTACACTAAACCACTTTAAACCTGGACAATTAACCCGCAGTGCAACGGCTAAATGTAATAGTTGTTGACCATCAATATTAGTACATTAAATAACAATAAAAACACAGTTAACCTTTTCTATATTAGGCTATTGGTCAACAGTAAACAAACACCTTCAGGTGGAATAGGGCTTAAGATCTCAGTAAAGATGGAGGAGACCTTGGTGGGGTAAACCGTACTGTACTGGCCAGACTCTTATAATTTAAGTAGTAATTGTGTACAGAGTCCTTACTGTTAAAAAAAAACAAAAAAAAAAACAAGTACTGCTGCTCTGCATGGTGTTAGTTTTCCAAGGGTTTCTAGAGTGTATGAAAAAGCTTTTTGCACATGTACAGGACTAAGTCTTTACAGAAATGAATGCTACTTTTTTACCGTGCATTTTAACAGTTTTTTTTTCTGTTTCTATGGTGGAATGGGTGATAAAGCACACAGCTGCAATACTCTTAAAAGAAAGAATTATCCAGACATAACTCAATTTATTGCGCTTTTTTTCTAATCTATGACACATCTAAAATGTGAACACAGATTTTGTCTTTGTTACTCTGAACACATGTAGCCAAAACTGAACAACAGCATAATACTACATCTATTCTTCACAGGACAGTGTTCTTTGATGAACGCTGAACAATTTAACAATAAATCTAAATTGCGACATTTTTTCAGCTAATATTCCGATTTGGATTTTATTCGTATTTTCTTATGTATAAGCT